GTATGTGAGGGTTTTATTGTGGCCTATTTTTACTTATGAATTTAACGTTAACCGTATGCTTACCTCAATTTTACTGCTTTTACCAGGCGTTTAAGTCGCCATTTTATGAGCCCACTGTACGATTTGGGTCACGTGATTATCCGCAGTGAATAGAAAAAACTAAAATACCACATAAAATGTTTAAATAATGTCGTGTTAAACGATCTATAAGGGTCGGAAACGTAACATCTTACATCTTGGATTGTATGTAGGGGCGACTTTTCACGGCCTCTACATTGCACATAACGATAACATAGAGAGATATGGAAAGCCATGGCTGTCTGATATTGTTCTTTTTCAATTTCTGTAACCATTTGGATAATATATGAGTTCACTTCGACTATATATGAATTGAAAACACCGTCTTATTTAACCGGAATCCATAATATTAATCCACAGTAACAATATATGAAACCATACTGTCAGTGTATGAAACCGAGTTAGCAATATATAAGTTGATTTTCTCAATATATGATTCCAATTCTTCAATATATGTTACCAAAGTAGCCAAGTATGGAACCAGATGTCCTTATATGAAACCAAATTATCAATATATTTATTCATTTTTACAATATATGAAACCATTTTATCGATGTATGGAACCAAAATAGCAATATATGAGTTGGTTATTACAATATATGATACCAATAATTCAATATATGTAACAATGTATGGAACCAGATGCCCTTATATGAAACCGAATTATTAATATATTAAATCAATTTTACAATATATGAAACGAGTTTATCAATATATGTAACCGAAGTAGCAATATATAAGTTCATTTTCACATTATATGATACCAGTTCTTCAATATATGATACCAAAGTAGCAATATATTGAACCAAAATGTCATTATATTGACGGGACTTTTTTTAAAGGCTGTATTCTATCCTTGCACCGGTATTACAGTTTCGCGCTTAAAGAACAGCGTGCTTCACTGACTGCATACTGCACATTTTCTGAATAAGGAAATATTTGAATTTAACGTCACATTCACTTAAAATGGGCTTGGCAGGCAAAACTTACCGTTATATATATAGGAGTTGTATGTCATAATTTAAGCTATTGAGTCGTACTGACCATTAACAAAAACATATTTAAAAAATAAGTTCATCTCGACCTTTACCTTTGATCAAAAATAGGCATGGCCAGAAGGACACATCTACTCACAAAGTTTAAAAAATAATCAGTCAAATAATAATTGATTTTATGAAAAAGTGTATGCATTGTAATAACAGAACCCAGTGACCTCGGACTTGAAAATAGGCTATTTTGGTTCCATATAATGAAACTTGCTATCATGGAATGTAACATCAACTTATTTACTAGCTGCTACTTTGGGTCCATAAATTAATAAAATGGTTTCATATATTGTAAAAATGAATTAATATATTGTTAATTCGGTTTCATATAAGGACAATTGGTTCAATGGTTCCATATATGGCTACTTTGGTACAATATATTGAAGAATTGGTCATATAAAGTGATACTCAAGTCATATATTGCTACTTTGGTTCCATACATTGATAAATTGGTTTCATAAATTGTAAAAATGAATTAAAATATTGAAAATTCGATATCATATAAGGACATCTGGTTCCATGTATGGCTACTTTGGTACATGTACAATATATTGAAGAAATGGTATCACATAATGTGATAACCAACTCATATATTGCTACTTTGGTTCCATACATTGATAAATTGGTTTCATATATTGTGAAAATGAATTAATATATTGATAATTCGGTTTCATATCAGGACATCTGGTTCCATGTATGGCTACTTTGGTACCATATATTGAAGAATTGGTATCATATAATGTAATAACCAACTTATATATATCTACTTTGGTTTCATAAATTGATACATTGGTTTCATATATTGTAAAAATGAATTAATATATTGATAATTCGGTTTCATATAAGGACATCTGGTTCCATACATGGCTACTTTGGTAACATATATTGAAGAATTGGAATCATATATTTAGAAAATCAACTTATATATTGCTAACTCGGTTTCATACACTGACGGTATGGTTTCATATATTGTAACTGTGGATTAATACAATGGATTCCGGTTAAATAAGGTGTTTTCAATTCATATATTGTCGAAGTGAACTCATATATTATCCAAATGGTTACAGAAATTGAAAAAGAACAATATCAGACAGCCATGGCTTTCCATAGAGAGACATAGAACAAGTTATTTTTGTACTTTTCAATGATTGTGTTATCAGAGACGTTGCACAATCCTGCCACCTTATCTATGTATCATAACTAACTTTTACAACTTTAACTCACATTACATGTCTGTAACCAAGTTTGGGGTGCCAATGTGACGCTAATTTTATCTCACCTGAGGACATATAATACTACATTTATTTTACCGGAGGATCGACCCGACAGTAAAGGGATTTTCATTCTCCGATGATATATATAGATAGGTAAAATCAATCACACTCTACTTTTGGGGAAATGAGACAAATTTTAATAGTTATAGGATGTAACTTAACCCATTGCTCGTATATCACTTTTGATGTTACATTAAAGTATGTATGAACAGTAAATAATTGATGCCTCTTTATCAAAAGTTCTTTCAAATAAGATAATCCTATACGACATTCTTTCAAAGCAAATATTTAGCAAATAATGAAAGCGTTTGGACATGATAGATACGAAGATTAGCTGTCCCTGATATAAATAACTATAATCATTGACATAATCGATTGTTATGCAATCTTTAAATGCACTATAGTTCGTTGTTCTATCGAATCACGCTTCCTGAATTAAAGTTGAAGCTTCTTGTAAATCAATCGTGGGTAGATCATGATAAATAAACCTATAAAAAAACACATAATTATTATATCTTTTGTATATAAAAGGATGGATTTTTATCTAAACACGCATTGTCAAATCAGGCCAATTAGATATATTCGACTGAAACACTAAATCGCTTGGGGAGTTAGTGAATAAAAACAATGAGACAAGTCTTTACTACATTTTTTTCCTTTATATCAATTAAACAAGATAAGGTCGAACAAACTTATAAACAAACTTATATTGAAACGGTATGCATGTTGTTGTTTTTTCTTAAACGTATCTTACACGTGTTTACAACAGAACAATGATACAAACGCGGAAGTTATTCCAAAAATTGGTTTGTTTTTATATTGGAACAGTTAATTATTTTCTAACTGTATTCTAACACATTATATTTACGATACATGTCCATGCTCAACACGTTTCTTTCGATGTTTTATATAATTGTCGCGCTTATTTGACAAATAGATCTTGTAAACCTTGTTTTATTGGTAATTATTGTTTATTAACTGTTGAAACAGTTCTCTAACTGGGATATAAATATTCCGACAGCTGGAAATGTTGTCAATGGGATGAAATCCATTCGTTTTAATATTCATGTATATTCTTGAATTGAATTGTTAAGTAAGCAAAGAGATTGTGCAGTTTTTTTTGGGTTTTTTTTTTTTGATGTTGTAAAACTTAAGTACTTTAAATATACATTGCGCTATAAAACAAGATCTACATTATTATTTGAAGAAGTTCGTAAATCATGCCATCACTAAGTACTTAACAACCCTTTCTAAAACGTTATAACATAATAAATGTTTACGTCAATTTTAAATATAGGCTAAAAACACAATCTCCTGTAAATAAAGATGATCTAAGAAGAGAATGTAATGCATTTTTTTACAGATATTCATATGCAGTTGTTAGTGATGAAGCTTTTGTTCGTCGTTGTTGTTTTCTCAGAAGATTTTATAATAAAATAGAGAAAATATAAAAGCCTTTAAACGGCAAAATTTAAAATTGTTGCATGGTCGCTTTGATAAAGCCCGTTGAAAACTTAATATGAAATGATAACCATTCTTATTAATATGACACCATTGCAATCTTAAAGTTAAAGGCCCATTATGCCCGAGATATGCTTTTTTTTCTCAAAAATCTTTTTACTTTTTCTGTCCTTTTATAATTTCCATAAAGTTAGATTTTGCCTAATTTCTTGAACTATATCTTGTCTGCTGCTTTTTGGCAATTACTACATTGACAGGTATTTACATTTTTCTATTTGTATTACAAATAATTCAACGTTTAGCACTTCTTTTCTTCAGATGATAAGCATTCAGTATGTCTTTAACCATTATTGAAACATTACAATACTTATATTTGCACTTAAATAAAGAAGGAAAATGTCAATCCTTTCTGTGGCTTTATGTGTCTTAAAGGTTAAGCTTGTCTTATAAGCAATTTATTTAACATTTTTATTTTCATGATTCATGTTAAAATTTGGAGAATGTGATTCCTTTAGGATAATATGAACTCGCTGCTTATCAGAATTGTTGGCAAATCCATTTTCATTAAATTATCATTTAGATTATGTGCCACTCTTTTCATGCCAAAGTTCTAAAACCAAAAGCTTCTTTATTATTTACAAAAGATCATAGAAATAAAACATATAAATGTTGGTAAATGGGACTTGATTTGACAAATATTAGGCGAAACCATAACCAAGAGTAATGTACCCTGAACAAATATTTACATAGATAAATGATAAACATTTTCAGAGCACAAATACGTTCATATGATCGCTATTAAACCTTTTGCGGGAACTGGTTTGATATATGGGACCGTGAGATGCGAGTAAATAGAGAAAACAAAAATCCCTAAAGAAAGCCCAACATGGCAAAATTGAAAATGTTGCAGGCTCGGTTCGATTGTGCCTGTTCATGGACGGTACTGTCAAGTGCAAACTACCGTCCACGCTGCCTAACACCGGCTTAAGCGGAATTCAACATTTAACATGAACTTGTAATGGGATTTTAAACGTGCCTACTTCAGTTGGCTTTGAAACTTGAACTTAGTTTAAATTGTTGAACTTCTAAAGATAACATATTCAAGGCAAACTATATATGAATATTTTATCACAATTGAAAGATGGGTGTTTTAAGTCTAAACATTGAAAATTGGAGAACAATTCTAGTAGCTGTTGTAATATTCATGATAACATATCTAACAACAAGACGGGACAAAAATGTTCCACCAGGACCAAATAGATGGCCTATAATAGGAAACATTGGATCGTTAATTGGCGGAGATACACTTGACAAGCTTGCTGAACTACGTAAGAAATATGGAGATATATTTGGAGTGTATTTAGGGTCAGAATTGACAATATTCCTCAACGGCTATGATACAATACACGAAGCTTTAGTAAAACGGGGGACAGTATTCTCGGTTAAGGGAATATTTGGACTGACGCGACGTCCACAAGATTACAAAGTGAACATTCGCCTAAGGTCCTCAGCGTAATACTAGATCATATCATTTGCGTTAGATGTTATAGAACACTTTCCATGTCATACAAAAAAAAACTAATTCAATGCAAACAAAATTCGTGAGGTGGTAAGTTACTGTGTATATGTTATAAGGTTAATGGACACAATAATGTCTTATTAGGCAGTTCAAGGCGAGCAATGATAAATACATTGTATATTAGCTTCATTTCATTTCAATTTCGTCGCTTTCTGTTATCGAGAAGCTTTCTTGTTTTGAAGGATGAATGGAAATATAACTTAACTGACCTATAATTGTCATATTTTGTATAATGGTCACAGTATTTTTTCTCACTCATTTATCGTGTCTATATGCCATGTTTGCTTTCGTATCTTTGTTCAACACTCGTCAGTAATATTTGCAATATTCTTATGCAAAGAAACTATTACCTATTCCATTTTACGTTGTGCTTATTATTCTATATTGTGGTCCCATAAAATCTATATCTAATTTTACCCATTATAAACAACATATACACCTTTATCTATAGTCATAAATCAATAGCCTAGAAAAATAAAGAAATATTGGATATGCTGAAAATATATAGACCCGTGAAATATAAAAAGGACTGCTTAATTATTACTAAAATACAACATCAAATACACTACAATATATACAATATCGGTCAGTGTACTATCAAATATAATTTTAGAGCAATGTCCAACTGAAACATCTACCTTAATTAATGTCCTCCTAAATCTGAACCCCATTAAAATATCAAACAATCTCATATTCATTTATCCCAATGAAATATAAAATAAATAACTAAAGCAATAGCTTAGTGTAATATGGAACACCTGTATTGTCTACAATTTATAATACTTATAATAATTTATAAACATGTATAGCCAAAATTATTAAAATATTTACTTATCCATCTACGCCAAATCTAAATTAATCATCCATTCAAATATCAAATAATAAACCAGTGTCCATAGTTACCAGTGAAACATCAAACACAGACCTTAATTACTGGAACAAAGAAATGAAAACTGAGAGTTTACTGTAATCCTAAATCTAGAAC